TTGCTTGCAATTGTTTCTATTAATCATCAAGATCGTTTATAACTTACAAGCATCATTTAAATTTATACGGAAAATATCATCATCTTAGAAAAAAAAACAATTTAAAAAGCATTCCAGAGTAATCGTAATAAATCTTCCAAAAAAAAATACGTTGAGTGGTTATGAGATGATTAATTATAATAAAAGTTGATGATAAGTTCAAAAAAAGCAAGAAATGATCAAATAAAACTGTCCTGCATCACATAAAGGTGCGAAGAACTCCCTTAAGAGTTGAATAGGTTGACACGGTATCATGGAGGTGCTGGTGGTTAAGCAGGTTGGTGCACTTCCTAATACACTAAGAAACTTGTAGGAACCATAGTTTGGCATAAGTGGAAGAGGTCAACGTCCTTCATAAAGAACCTATGTGATGAGAGATGACTAGGCAATTGGTAGATACTCCAGGGATTTGGAACAAGATTTCCCCATACATCTTGCCAATGTTTATGATCACCAAGCGTATAAGAAAAGCATTCAGCCTATGCAATATGTGACAAAGCGGCAGGGGTATAGGATGTTGCAAAACACCTTATTCCTCCATCAATAGGGTCATCGAAGCAACAGTGACTGATATCATTAAGCCATGCTAAATAAATATCTCATCTTCACCTCAGCTCATAGTGAAATGACTTTCATAAGTGAGTTTTGTCCAGGCTAAACAGCACACACAAGCACAATCATAAAATCAAAATTTGAGATTATATGAGCTAAACAATCATTTTCAACAAGACGAGCAGGTGAATGTACTCAAGTCGGTAGAGCTACTAGAGGGGTGAATAGAATATGTGAAACATTTAATTTGAGTATCTCTTTCATGAAACTCAAAAATATCATCTTCACACATCTTGTTTGCACCAATTAGAGAAAAAGTTGGACTTAGAACAATAAAATGATATTGGTTTACATGATAAGAGCTCTTGCAGTGGTCATGTGGACATTGAGAGGCTATGTTATCTTATAGATAATCCCGATCTGATATGTATAGCAATACATACGTTTAATCCATATCTTTAATTAAATACTATAGATTATCAAAATCATCATGAGAATTGAACGAGATCTTTGATATCCTTAATCATAACAATAATCATCAAGGATAGTGATAAGAAACATGATATTTATGTGAATGATATGAGTTTTAGTTTCCATCAACATTATGTTAATTATAATAATAATCACATTTATAATGGCCCTCATAAAACGAGTTCATAAGAAGACAATAAACAAGTAGACGTAAGAAGGTAATACTTTGTAAATTAATAATGAGGCGAGTGGAGTGTGTATGAAGGAGAATCAAAGGTGTAAAGAAGCTTTTAGTAAAGAGAAAATTCAGGCATCTCTGAATGATTTATTGAGTTAAGAGGATTTTTAAGGAAGGTGTTAAGAAATAATTTGAATGAAGATTTATGGAAATAACTTAGGACTATGGGAAAGGGCTCAAATGAGGGAGAAATTCAAAGAGAGGATGGCAGATTCTCAGTTTGATTGGTAAAAGAAGGAAATTTTGCCGACCAAAATAAGGGGGAAAAAAAATAAGTGAGAGTTTGGTCTGATTTGGAGCTTGCCACATTGTTTAGCTTTGCAAGAATGAACAAATAAGGCTATAAAAATTTTGAGAAGGCTACTTGGGTTTTAAGTTTTCATATCCTATTTTCATGAAGTTTTTGATTGCCAGGTTAAAAGCATGGATGAAAAAATTTATTGTATGTGTGTGAGAAAAGCAGGAAGGGTGAGAAGCATCTAGAGACCGAATTTGATAAGAAATAAAAATTAGGACTTATGTGGTACAACCAAAACAGACCAATTCAACTGTATTACCAATTGATGGGGATCAAATGCAATGGCATTAATGTTTGGGTCACCTTGTTCATGACTACTTCAAGAGATATAGAGAATATAAGAAAGAGTGATCGGGTAAGAGTGAGACGAGCTAAGAGAGAAGGAGACAAAGGAAAGAATAGTCTAGTTTTGCTAGTAAGTTTTAGATTGAGTCTTCAATATTGTTTACAAAATACAAGCATCCTTTTATTTGCAAGGAGAATTTCATTAGCTTAATAAATACCAAAATGAAAAACAATCTAAGGGCAATCAAAAGAAATAATTATGGGATCTTTTACAAAAGAATCATGTAAATAAAATATATTCTTGATTACATATTTATTATATAGTTGATTTTAATAAGGCAAATGCTAGCATGACAAATAAGGCATGTAATAATATATCAAATATTAGTGTCCTGCATCGGCAATTAGCATTGGAAAACATTGTGGTGTTTAACAATTGGCATCTATAACATGCTTTTTGTAATCTAATTAAGAATTAAAAAATAATGTTGGTGCCTTTATCCATTTAAATTGTACAAGATAAACAAGTCATTAATTCTACAAAATAAATTCAAAAAATAATTTGATATAGTTCATTTCCCATCAAAGCATAACACTTCCAAAACTAACAATTTTGTCATAGCGCAAAATCCTTTCCATCCCAGCATTTCTGCCCTTCAATCACTCCAAACATTACAAGTTCCAAGCAAAAACCAGATCCCCATCTTTAAACGAAAAACAGCACATTAAAAGCAAAATTTTACAGATAATCCTATTTCAGAATGGAAGGGAGTGTGAACCTAATAAAATGAGTAAGTTGTCACCAATGTGGTTTAAGGTCATGAGTTCGATTCACAAAAAAAAGATTGTAAGAATCACATTAACATCAGCCACATGAATCATATGGACTCTTTTTACTATTTGGATTTGGAATGCATAATTGATACCACTCCACGATCCACCCCGCATGCCCCAGCCCTTCAAGTTTCAACATGAAGCTCTTTAAGAAAAAAATCATAAATAAATATGCAAGGGATTGCAACACATATTACAATCTCGAGAAATAAATTAGAATGAAACACATTTGGGCTCAAAAAATGCGGAAAATAATATTAACTAAGACATGTAAAAAGTAGTAAAATAAGGGTTGGCATCTCCAAGTGGTGGGTAAGAGTATAGCTAATATTCTGAAACATAAACTAACTGACAAAAATGCCAAAATGGCTCTTAACTATTTATACAGGGTCATTTTAGTCTCAAAATCTATAAAAAAAAAAGTCAAATTAATACCTAGAATATTTTAATGGTGATTGAAATAATCCTCTCTTTAAAAGAAGACAGGAAATACTTCAGCTTATATTATAAGAGTTGGAACTAATTTGACACTCTTATAGGCTTGGATTAATATAACCCTCAACAAAGAGTCAAGAAGTCATTGTGACACTTTTCTCTAAACTAAATTTTTAAAAGATACCCTTATTCTTTCAAAAAAAACCATAATTCAGATTATAACTTTTGACACTTCAAATAAAAGCTCTTTTTTAACGCGTCAAAGTTTAGGGCTTCAAATATGTGATTCATTCGTAATAGTTGCAATCTATAAAATTAGTTGTGAAACTATTTTGAGAGAATAATAATTGTTGAAAGTAGTCGTGAATATTATTTTTTATTTAAAATATTAAATCAAATAAAAATTTTATTATAGCTACCGCACTTTCGAAAATCTAGCTGTGAAATTCATCTAATAAAAAAATATAAAATTAACAAAAAAAAATTGTAACCAAAACAGAAGTATAGCAACCATCTATAAATCTGTGCAAATGTTACCCTAAAGGCACCCATAATGTGTTTAAATGTGAAGGCACAAATTTTGAACCTTATTCCTTCTTGGGTTGATTTATATCATAAAATAGTATACTACATTTTATCTGAAGTATAATCTATTTGTATGTTTCATACCTTAAGTTAGTGATACAATCACAAACACATGAATGAAAATGTTTACTTATTCACATATTTATGAATATTCTTTCACATTACAATATAAAATGACCATCACAAATCTTATTTGAGTTAATGTTAACAAACAAACCGTCTTCATTGATTCATTCTCTATATGGTTCATGACAAATACTTAAAGTCCAGTGTCTGGAATGGGTGTTTTATTTGTCGTATAATTCACATCTTTATGCAAGAGATTCAGAAAAGTCATACACATGATGTTGAACTTGACTATGGTGTGTTTATACTCTTAATATATGCATATTTAAAAAACCAAATCAATAGATATTTCACTATATCTTCATATTTAATATACATCAAAATATCAAATCTTCTAAAAAAATGGTACTCATTCAATATTTAAATATTTAGAGCTACACAATATAAATTGCTGGGTACTATTCTTCCCACGTGTCAGTAGGCTCAGGATAAAGTATCTTATCATGCTTAATCTTTTTTGAAATATAAAAAATAAATTTGTATGAAACTCTTTATTCACTGTTCATAAACACACACACATATCTAGCCCTGTCCCAACTATTTGGGTTCAAATAAATCAAGCAGGCACAACATCTAGACATTCCATTGTAGCTATTTTGCTGGCCTTACTTGACCAATAGTTCTTAGTTTTACGCATTCCATTGCATCCAAACAGTCCCAAAATATCATCAATTACATTATAAAGATTGTGTGGCACAGAGGTTTAAAACGTCCTCACAAATATCATATTCACCAATCAGTTATCTACTTCTCCTTTCAAAGCCTGCAGTTTATGATTGCTCAGGGAAAATAAATCACTCATGCTTATTAATGCTCAGATAAAACAATACTGCACTACCGCAGAATCTGCAACCGTAATCCAAAACACGAGGCAAGAGGAATACACCCCCTCTTTCTCCGGGAAAACCCAAAATCTAAGATTCAAAGCGCGAACAAGTACAACAAAAGAAAAATCAGAGCTCTGGTCGTTTTGGCAACAGAGGTAACCCAGATATATTCCAAAAAGTTCAATAATCGATGAACCAAAGTGACCACAAACAAAAAGAAGAGAAGAAGAAAAAAAAACTTCGCAGATTACGAATCCCCCGATATATCAAAGCGGCAAACATAGACCGCAGAGAAACCCTATTAACTCACCTCGGTATCGCCTGCGAACTACAAGGTCGGAAAGCAACGATCTGGACTTCAGTCTCCCGGCGGCCTTTTGATCCAATGGTAACCTACGGTCGACGGTCCGTTCGGGCAGTTGCACCTTAATAATAAAATAAGTTTTTCTGCCTGCTGAAGATTTACTTTTTACAGTTTGAAAAGCTGTATCTAAATAAGTAACCATTTTGCCCATGTTATAATGTTATTTTTAATAGAGCAATTTTTACCAATAAATCTTATATTTAAAAAATAAAAACTCAATACATAACATTATAAAATAAAAATAGACACATCACTTAAGGTTCATTTGGAGCCGTATTTTCATGTCACACGGCCCGAAAAACGCAGATAGGACTGCTTGATTATCGCATTGCGACGGCATTGTTTAAAAATTTAGTTAAAAAATGGTCGTGAGTTTGACCCCGTAGCCCGTATTTCTCCTCTCTTGACTGCGGGCATATTTATCCCACGACCCCTCTTCTTGCATTACCCGTCTCTCTCAACCCTGCTCCCTCTTCCGCGATTCTTTTACTCTAAGTATCTTTCTCCCGTGGACATGTGGCTCCGGTGCTTATTTTTCAGTTGTGAGTGGGTATTTCGGTAACCCTTACATTCCTCTCCCTCTCCCTCTCCTGCTCTTTCCTTCTGCTCAAAATTTCGTGGTTTGTGCAGTTTGTGCTTTGTGCGGTGCAGGTAATTCTTCAGTTTTGTAGAACACTTCAGTTGGTAGTTTTTTTGGTTTTTTATTACTCCATTAAGGTATGTATTCTCTCATCCCCTCTCATCGGCTAGGTTTGGTGGTTGTGCGGTGTTCCCTCTTCTTCCTGTCTTCTTTGTTCTTCACCTCTTTTCTCTCTTCTTTATGTGGTTGTGTGCACTATGCTAATTGGTTTTCATCTTTTAGCTCAGTTTTGGTGGCTCTTTGTTTGCTCATTTTTTTGTGATTTTCGATTTGATATGCTCAACAATTTGGTTTTGATGCTTCATGTTGCATCGAAATAGGTTTTGGTTTATGCCTTCGAATCAATGTTGCTTGGGTTAGTGTTTTGTGGTGATCTTTGGATTTTTGGTGCTTTACCTTATTAGCAATGTTTCAGGTCCCTTATATGTGGTATATTGGATTTCTTTTGGTGCTTATGTTGTGAGGAATTGGTATATCTTTATGAACTTTGATATTTCAGTGAGAAATTTGGTGTGTGGATGTGTTGGTGTGATGATGTGGTTTGTGGTGTGGTGTGGTTTATGGTGTGGAGGATGTGGTGTGGTGTGGTGTGGTTTATGGTATGGAGGTTGTGGCGTGGTTTGTGGATGTGTTGGTTTGTGATTTGGAGTTTGTGGTGTGGTTTGTGAATGTGTTGGTGTGTGGTGTGGTGTGTGAATGTGTTGGTGTGTGGTTTGGAGTGTGTGAATGTGTTGGTGTGTAGATGTGTTGGTGTGGTGGTTTGGTTTATGGTGTGGTGTGGTTTATGGATGTGTTGATGTGTGGTTTGGAGTTTGTGGTGGTGGTGTGTGGATGTGTTGGTGTGGTGGTGTGGTTTGGTTTGTGGTGCGGAGGTTGTGGTTGGAGGTTGTGGTGTGGTGTGGTTTGTGAATGTATTGGTGTGTGGTTTGGAGTTTTTGGTGTGGTGTGGGGATATGTTCGTGTGGTAGTGTGGTTTGCGGTGTGGAGGTTGTGGTGTTATGTGGTTTGTGGATAGCTTATGGTGTGGTTTGGAGTTTGTTGTGTGGTGCGTAGATGTGTTGATGTATATGTGTTAGTGTCGTGGTGTGGAGGTTGTGGATTGGAAATTGTGGTGTGGTTTGTGGAGGTTTTGTTGTGTGGCTTGGAGTTTGTGGTGTGGTGTGTGGATGTGTTGGTATGGTGGTTGATACACCTAAAATATATTGTATTTTTAGACGCATTTTTATACCTATTTTTTAGATATTGCGCTTTAATGGAAGGTATTTGTGTGTTTTTCTTTCAGGTACAAGTAAAAAGGTGAAAAATGCTAAAAGGCGTGAAAAAGGATAAATTTTGGAGCAAAGATGTGAAAATTGTGCTAAAGTGCGTCGGTTAAACAGAGAAGGCCGCGCCTAAGCACAAGAGGCCCCGCGCTTAAGCACCAGAGGCAGTTATTTAGCAGTTTTCTTTATTTGGCCGAATTTTGAAGAGATATTTGAGTCACATATTGACAAAAAGAGGGTGATTATGACCACTAGGAACGAAAATATTATTAAAAGACTTGTGAAAGGAGGCATCCCTTGGAGAATACATCGAATTTGGACACATTTTGAAGAGTTTCCAAGGCACCTCTTGGGAAATTTATAAAAGAAGAAAGTTGAGACATTTAAAAGGGGTGCTTGAAGTCCTGAAAAGTGCTTAAAAAGGAAGAGATTTTCAGTCACCATAAAAATTTACTTTATCCTTTTTGTTTTTAATTTTATTTTGAGAGTTAAGAGTGTTGTAAAAGAGAAGAGATTCAAAGGAACTTCAAGAGTTTGGTGGAGGATTTGAGATAATTTTTTATCTTTTATTTTTAAACTACATTTGGTTTTAATCGAGACTTCTTGTTGCTTCGACAATGATTTCTACTTTTAAACTAAAGTGTGGTTTTGTTTTTACATGGATTTTGAGTAGTTTTTGTTATTTTTCTTCTTAAAATGATAAATAATTAAAGTGTTGGATGAAAGTTGTGGAGAGTATTAATCTTTAATGTTGGAAGAAGTTGTGATGATTCAATTCATGTACTTCATTTACTTCTTGATTTGGTCTATCCAAATGTTAAAATTTATTGTGAGAACATGTAAGAACCTGGTTGGTATTGTCTCAGTCAACAATTGGAAAGAATCATATGAGGTTATATGAGTGAGAATGTAATTCATATAATTCAGTGCAAATAAATAGGAAAATAGTCATTAAAGGGTGTAGAGTTAGAGGACTTTAAAGTGACAGGTTAAAGCCCCCAACTTGGTTTATTGTTTTAGGTTCTGATACAAGATGTTAGCCCCTAGGTGGAGGGAATCAAGGGAACTCTAGAGTGAGAGCTAGTATCTTCCATGCTTAGCCGGTCTTCAAAACTATTCAAACTTTAAATTAGCCAATGTTCTGTATAGCATCTCTAGTAAGTGTAAAGAATATAATTGCTTCTATTTGACACAAAACAATTTGCATACTTCCACAACAGAATTCCTATGTTTATTACTGATTCATAATAAGGAGAAAGATATTTTCAAATTCAGTGTTTTTCTTTTACATAAACTCAAGTTATCTTTTGAAATTGTTACTATTTTGTCAATATACCAAAATTATCAAAAAATTTAAATTTTAATTACTGCGAATACTAATTACTGCGAATACATTATTTTAATTACTGCGAATACATTTCTAGTTTAAGTAATTGTCTTTTTAAAATAGAAAGTTTGCTGTTCAATAGAGCATATTGCGTAATTTTCTTGTGGGTTCGATATTCAGGTCTTAGTCAAAAAGTCCTATATTACTTGATAACGATACGTATACTTGCGTAGTATCCAAATATAAATTGAAAAGTTAAATTCTTATTTTCTTCAGGATCAAATTTTGACTTTGTTGCAAAGTAAAGAAATATAAGTGAGAATATAATCAGAGACATTATTATATTGTTGCATATAAACAGTCAGGATCAAGTTTTTGGCGCCGTTGCTGGAGATTAAAATCTTCAAGTAGTGGTGTCAACTTCATAAATTCTACATATAAAAAATATCGGGATCAAGTTTTTGGCGCCGTTGCCGGGGACATTAATTGATTTAAAAGCAAATTCTTATTTTTAGAAAGTCTTATTTAAACTTTAAAAAGTTATAATATTTTATTTTGTGTGTTTTATTTTATTTTATTTTTGTGTATGCGTAGTTCAGGTTCTGAAGGACTAGTGCCCTCCGATTCTGAAATAGAAAGAACTGTTAAAAAAATCAAAAAATTAAAAATCTTGAAAAATCTAAAAAAATTACAGAAATGACAAACCAAAAAAATCAAAATGTTGAAATTCATTAAGAGTTTAGACCTTTACGAGATTATGCTAACTATAGAAGAATTTCATTTTAGTATTCAAAAACCTATTGTAGTAGCTAATTCATTTGAACTTAAACCTGTTATTATCCAAATGATATCAAATAATCAGTTTGGGAGATCACCAACTGGAGATCTAAATTTACATCTTGCCAATTTTCTAGAATTTTGCGCTAAATTTAAATATGATGGTGTATCAGATGATGCGATAAGACTTAGGTTATTTCCTTTCTCACTGAGGGATAAAGCTAAGATGTGGTTGAATTCGTTAGCACCTGGATCTATCAGAACTTGGGGTTATTTATGACCAAAGGAAAATATGTTGAGATTTTCATACCTATTTTACATTGATTTTGATGATATTGTACTTTAAAGAAAGGTATTTTTGATGTTTTATTGCAGATATGTTGAATTATGGTCATTGGAGCAAACAGATGCAAAAAAGAGCGAATTTGGAGCAAAAATGACCAAAATATGAAGATTTGATCTTGGGCGCCAATGGAGAGCTCGACGTCGCCGCCGACGAGTTTTTCTTGAGAGTCCAGAATTAAATATCTCTAGAAGGCCGCCGACGGCGAGCACGTCAGTTCTCTCAACAAAAGCATTGAATGTGGACGATTTTTTAAGGGATGCTTGGGCTACTCTTGAAAAATCTTCTACAACTTTGAAAGAAACAATTTGGTGTCTGCTCGTGTGTCCAAGGGGTGTCCGCTGGAGTCTTTGTTGTTTGTGGTGCCCATTAGAGTGTAGAGAGTGGTTAGTATTGTGAGGAATTCTTTGAGAGATTGTAAGAGTGGAAGGAAGGTGAGAGATTTCTTTCTCCTTACCGCTTCGAAGGAGAATTCTGTGTGATGTAAAGAAAGGAAGAGATTCAGAGGAACTTCGAGGAGTGTGCTTGGGGAGGAATTAGAGATATGTTGTATTTACTTATTGAAGTTTGTATGAATTTGCTTTTATATATAAATTCCAAGTTTTGTCGTATCTTCTCCATGAGTTCTGAGTAGTTTTCTCTGTCTAATCTGGCCAATTAATTTGTTAAAATATGTTGAGTTTTACAACTAAAGTGAAGATTACATCCAATATTTAGG